AGTGGAGATTGTCTGCCAACGTTAAGAAGGGTGCCGTCATGGTATGCAACGAGAACATGGAGGAACCAGTAGAACATGGATGAAAGTGGGGATCGAGGAGATTGCAGTAGTGGACCAGTACACATACCTCGGAGTAGAGATCGCAAAAGACTGCTCGTGGAATGCACACATGTCCAAGGTAGCGGAAAAGGGCAAAGCACGAGCAGGGAAGCTGCACCCAATACTCGCAAACCGGCACCTCGATACACGCATCAAATTGACGGTTTTGAAGAGCGTAATCGTACCGCCGCTAGAGTACGCCGGAGAAGTATGGGAAGGAAATAAGAAGGTAGTGAAAGAACTCGAGGCGGCGCAGATGAAAGCAGCGAAAATCATCCTAGGATGCTCCAGGCGCACAAGTAATGCAGCCGTGAGGGCAGAATTGGGGATCCAATCCCTACGGTCGGGAAGAGACGCGAGGAAGCTGACCTGGCAGTATCGCATGTGCGGGATGGGAGAGGAGAGGTTGCCGAGAATTGTATGGGAGGCGAAGTGGGCAAACAAAAAGAGGGGTAGACAACCCACGGAATGGGTCAAGGTTGTAGAGGACGTACGGAAGGGGCTCGACATCGACAAAGATTAAACGCTGGAAACAGACGGTCTACAGGGGTTCAAGGACAAGATGTCTGTTGCTTGTGCCGAGAGAGAAGAACGGAATCTAAGGAAAATCCAACGATAAGGAGGGTCTAGAAGTGCACGGAATGTTGAAGGAAGGAATAGGGTTCAAGGATTACCCACGTGGACCAATGGATGTAGGAGCAAAGTTTAAGGTCAAATTCAGGGCCGGGGACATGGGCCTTTGAGAACTTCGACAAAGGCATAGGACGGTAGACGTCGAAGACGACGAGTTCAAATGTGATTGCGGCTTCGAATGCGAAGACCGTGTTCATGTAGTCGCGGAATGTCCGTGGTACAAAAAGGAGAGGGATATGTACGTGACTGAGCTGGGAAAAATAGATGGGGCGTACAGAGAGCTGTTCGAGGAATGGAATAGAGAGGATAGGACGGTAGCTGCACTAGGGCATAGGAGGTGGGTTGAAAAGGCGGGAAGGGATATCGTTAGGATAGACAGACTAGGGAAGACATTTTTGAGCCACCTTTGGCAAAGAAGAAAGGAACGATTGGCCATCGGTGATCGGTCCTGTGGGAACAATGCTCCGTCCCCTCGAGGACGCGTGGTCAATGGTCTAACCGCTAAGGCCATGCAAAACATAAGAGTACGCCCCCCCCCCCCATAGGGTATAAGGAATTTTTTCAGCCCACCCTCTGAGGGTCTTGAAAACAGTCCCTCTAGAGGGTAACGTTGTTCTCCCGAGGGTACAATAATATCACCCTCTAGAGGGTCTTTTTTGAAGACCCTCAGAGACTTCGCTGAAAAACATCCATATACCCTAGGGGGGGTCGGAAGAAAATGGAATCGCTTCGGAGGGTTGACTTCGTCCTCCCTGTAGAGGGTTTTTCGGCGAGTCAATTGGCCACGTGTGCAACGCACGTGGAAAAAATATCAAGGAAATATCGAAGACAAGACAGGGAGAGAAGGAAATAAATAATTTGCAACACGGAGGAAACAATAAAACCCTGATAAAAACCTTTTGTCCCCACCGTTTCGCAGCTCTCTGCGTCTTGCTACATACAGACTAGACCAATACGAAAACCGTTCCCGATTAATACGTCAAGATCAACAACCTTTCCTTGAGCCCGAGCCATCAACAGCTACTTCTGCCATCTATGCAAACGTGACGAGTACCGAAGGTCAACACATAAGTAAGTCTAGACCATGACCCCCTCGTCGTCCGATTCCTCCATGTCCGATTCCAAATGACGGGGCCCCCGGAAATGAAAAATGACCAGGAATTTCCAGGGTACCTACCGCTGAAACCTGTAGTAACTGGCTATAACCGGTACAACCCCGTTATGGACATCATCACTGGGAAAAAATGATGGCACCCGGTGCCATCTCTCCGACTCCAGAACGGGCCCGAACCCTGTAGTAACCGGCTATACGGTACTGCCCCGTTATGGACATCATCACTGGGAAAAAAAGATGGCACCCGGTGCCATCTCTCCGACTACAGAACGGACCCGCAATTTTAAGAAAAACTTTGTGAAGAACAAGAAGCTCAAATGTTGAAGAAAAACAAAAAAAAGGGGCTACGAAACACAGCTGCTCAATCTCGGCCACAACAACATGAGAAAGCCTTAATAAGAAACATAATCGTGCGATACCCCCAAGACGACAAAAGAAACAAAGGGTAGCTAGGGGAGCTTCTCTCTATGGAAGGTTCCACTGCTGCTGCTGCTGCTGCTGCTGCTGCTGCCACCACCACCATGCTCCCATACCCCGTAAGTACCTAGCTAGCTCATGTCATGTAATTCTTTGGTAGGGGGGGCGCCGACGACAGTGGTATTCGCGGCGCCCCCCGCGCTCCAGCGGAATAATGCTCATGAAGGCCTGGTGGGTTGTTGATCTCCTCGCCAAAAATGAGAAACTAACAGATTCAGCTACAAGCGACAGCCCCAAGGAATAAGAAATTGGCCGACTTCGGCTGGTGTTTCTGCCCAAAACAGGAAACTATTTTATTGTGATGATAGATAGTAGCAACTCGACGAGTATCGTAGCGTTGCCTGTCTGAAGCTTTCAAGTTTTTACCGGTTAGTAAAGTCGAGAGCGCACACAGTGACACCTTCTCCGCTCGCCGAGCACGACCGATAGCTTGCCGAAAATATACTAACGAAATTGGCCGACTTCGGCTCGTGTTTCTGCCGATAATAGGAAATCGAGGCTCGACGCGAATTCGACGTTTCTCATCTCCGGGCCCGTTCTGTACAGAAAATCCAATAACTAAGAACATGGACATAATAAAAACATGTGCTCGATTCTGGCGACGTGTACGAACTAGAACCCTTTTTTGGTAGTGTACCAATGCTCACACAAAAGATAAGAACGCGAGCGAAAGTGGCGGGGGTGATCCCAACAGCAGTTAGTTTCAAATTCGAGGGGTGGGGGGGGGGGGCACCCCATGAAATATTCTTGCACGTGCGGAGGGAGGGGGGTGACCGATGTGTACACAGTGTACCCCCTCTGCGAGGCATTTTTTGTGCTCGTGGTGCTGGATGCTTGCCACGCTGTGTGTATGCTGCGTGCATGCAGGTGCAAGAAGGGGGACCATGTCTTTACCCTGTAAGACACTACAGGAGCTCGACCAACTTTCAAAGTTGAAAGGAAGAGATAGATAGACGTCATTATTGACCGACAGTACGAGTCGATCAAGCAACAGGCCCTTGCGGGCACAAGCCTCAGCAAAGGAAATTTGGAGACCATCGAGTTGGCGTGGGGGCTGAAAAACGAGGTCGTCTTCACTCCAGAAGAACAGTGGACCGCGCAGATTGATGGGCAAATCCGGGACATCATCAGCAGCGCTCGCCCTTCGTGGTTGTTACTGCAAGCTGCTGGCGCTTGAGGCGCACGGTCTATATCAGGGAAGCAGCCACACTCTTCTGCTTCTACAGCAGCGGCTGCGGCGGGAAGCTGGACTGTGGAACGAGGGAAGTGACAGACGTACCAGCGAGGTCTCTCAGCTGCAGTACCCTGTAGTTGGCTTGTATGACAAAAGGCTTGGGTAGAGAAACACAGAGTGATTTATTATCCACACACAGACATGCGAGCTGTCTTCACCTGACGGTTACAGACTCGGAAACACGCCTTCACAATGCTGTATAAAACACACACAGCAGAATAGAGTCGGTCTTGCACTGCAAATACTCCAACATGTCTTCTCAAGAGCTACGTCATTCTGATATGTGAGATACGAGTCTTCTACCAATGTCCTCTCAACAACAATGTCAATGTCTTCTCGAATAATACACTATTCACGAGTACGTGCGTGCATCTCTCAACTCAAAACAAAGTAAACACTAACTGCCGTAATTCAAGTAGCGACATTCCTTCCAACACAGATCTTTCGCCGTCCAACCCTCAAGACTAAAGTCTGATTTCGAAGAGGGGGGGTGACTACTCTCCTAGAAGCGAGGAGCGGTTCCTGAGAAACTTCACCGCGCCCAGGCTCTTTGTTAGCATGTCTGCCTTTTGGCAGTCAGTTCCGATCGTCTTCACGTCCACTACCTTGTCAACGATTAGGTAACGAACGTGGTGGTACTTGACATCGTTGTGTTTGTTACGTTGAGTCGACTTGTTGGACTTGCTACCTCAAATGGCACCAGTATTATCTTTGGACAATATCGTTGCTTCCTTCTGCTCCCGGTTGATAGTCTTGAGTAGGTGGCGCCAGTAGAGGATTATCTTGCAGGCCTTGGACATTGCAACATACTCCGCCTCAGCCGACGAGACAGCCGTCACCGTTTGCTTCGCAGCCGTCGAGTCTACCACGCCTTCTGCGAGTTCAATAATAACCCCAGCTTGTAGATTTCCTGTCGTCTATGTCGCCTGCAAAGTCGGAATCAACGTATGTTAGTTTGTCTCCGTTTGATGCGTCCTCGCTGTATATTATCCCCAGCGATGCGGTTCCCTTCAGGTACCGCATCAGTCGCTTCAGCTTAGCCCACGCCTTAGGCCCGGGCTTAGCCATGCTCTTGGTAATCACCAGTATCGTGTGGGATGTCCGGCCTCGATCCCCTACATTTTTTTTTCTCCCATCATCGGATTCTGTCGTCTGCCCCTCTGGCCCCTATCCTCCACTTCTACTAGCTAAACGACCCAACCGGGATCACATAGGACGGGGGGGCTGGACCCTTCCTGCGGTTCCTGCCTGAGGTATTTTTATCGCGAGAAGGGTACAGCAATCCCTTGCCTCGCGACTTACGAAGTCGATTATATGTATAGAGCCGAATCCGTGGCAGACCGGAACATTGTAGCTTCATCCGGCGTCAGAGTCTCTTGCTCCACTGTGCTCATCGGTCCAACCTCCGCCGGCGTCTTCGTCGGGTGCAAGTCGGCCATGCCGAACTTGGCAAGTACGGCCTTGGTGTATGCCTCCTGCGTCAAGAGAATAGTGCCCGCGTCGCGGTCGCGGTGGATGGCCATTCCCAGGATGAACTTCGCATCTCCTATGTCCACCGTTTCAAACCGTTCCTTAATCAGTTCGATAATGGTCGACACTAGTTCCGCGTTGGTCCCAGTGAGCAGAATGTCGTCCACATACACCAGTAGGATTACTTCCCCCGCGTGCAGTATGTACAGGCACGGGTCGGCAGTGCTCGGTACGAAGCCTAGCTCCAGCAGGAACTGGTGAAAGGTTCCATTCCAGCCCTTCGGGGAGAGACGCAGGCCGTACAGCCACGCCTTGAAACGCCAGACTTGTTTGGCTTGCTCCGGCGTGCACCTGAAACCCTTCGTAGGAATCACGTAGACGGGCTTCGCACCCTCGGGCATTCTGGAGTTAAGGAACGCAGTCTTGATGTCAGCTTGCTTGAGAACTAGACCGTAGTACGCGGCGTGAGACACTACCAGGTGCACAGATTCCATGCTTGCCACAGGTGCGGCCTTGTCCACCCCCGTATCAGCCTCGTGAAACCCTTGCACCACTACACGAGTCTTCGGGCGGACCGGAATGATGTCTTGATTGAACGTCCACCTGAATAGCAACTTGGACGGAATCAGTTGTTTTCCCTCGGGCACGTAAACCCAGTCGAAAACGTCATGGTCGTAGAGCGATTGCTCTTCATCGCCCATGCTTGCCCTCCAGCGTTCGGCGTCCGGTCCACTCACCGCTTCATCGTAGTTGGCGGGGTCGGCAGGCATATTACCCACTTCACCGGGACGTCCACTCCCGATGCTGCCGACGTCGCTACCCGTCACCAGGGCATGCTCGATTCTCTCGTACGCATCCTCCTCCGTCGTATACAGGTTCAGCCGCTGCGGCGCCACAGAGGTCCTGTCGCTTCGACGAGGTCCCGGAGCCACCGGCGGCGGCCCTGTGGGGGTTGTGTCTTCATCTTCGCTTTCGCTAGATTCTACCGCGGCAGGCTGATAAACAGACACATTGGGCGCAGGAAACGGGTCGTGCCCTACCTTGGGTTTGACCACGTCACGCATTTCTTTGTCACGGAATGATACTTCGGCAGAGCTGGTGATTTTGCAAGACTCCGCTGGGTCCCACAGCCTGTAGGACGTACTCTCAGGATTACAGCCGACCAGGTACATTTTCTTGGTCCTGGCCGCCACCTTGCTCGACCGGAAGCGCGTCTCCTCGTGCTTAAACGCCAACGAACCCCATTCGTGGATGTGTAGCATTTTCCCGAGCGGCTTACTCTCCCATACCTCGAGTGGGGCCTTACCGCCCAGGACGTCAGTCGGTGTGCGATTCTTGAGATAAATGGCGGTCCGAAAAGCCTCAGCTCACAGCTCGCTGGGAAGGTGCGGCGCCCCCAGGAGCATCTTGCGCGTAGTGCCGATGATTGTACCAAACCCACGCTCCGCGATGGCATCCCCTTGCGGAACGTAGGGGGGGCTGTTGTTGACCGTAATTCCAACCGACTTGCACATCTCAAAGCACCTGCCCTTGAACTCTGCTCCGCCATCGCAGTGCACCGTACCGATGCTTTGCCCAAGCGGATCGGCAACGTCCCGGATAAGTGATTGGAGGGCCTCCGCCGTTTCGCCTTTCGTCTTGATGGGGAAGCCGAACCTCATGCGCGAAGCGTCGTCCGTAAACATCACGGCGCTCTGGCAACCCCCGTGCGATTTAACAGAGGGCTTCCCCCACACATCGGCGCTTACAATCTCAAGCCGAGTCTCAGAACTGGGGCGATCGGACAGCGGGTGGCTGCTTTTCTTGCTGTCCCCAACTACACATACACTGCAGTCACCTGATTCGATGTTACGATGGAAGCTTATACCGGTGGAACCCTTGTCAGCCAGCTGCTGCAGCGCACGAGGATTGCAGTGGCCCATCCTCCGATGCCACAGGTGAGCGTCAACCTTGGTGTGATACACGTCTACATCGTGCAGGTTGAGGTCGTCGACGATGACGTTCATCATATACATTCGAGGCACAGCGGTTGAAATGGGAAAAGTCCGGTCGCCGCGGCGGAGCGCCGGAAGGGTAGATATGAGATCACATTTCAACCCCTTTTCAGCCAACGCTCCAACCGACAAGATGTTCGTTCCTAGGTCTCGAACCAGCAGAACGTTCAACCCCACTTTTACCACTTCTTCGTGAGCATTGCGAATCCCGAACTTCAGGGTACCTTTCTTGGTGGCGCTAGACGTGCCACACGACCCGATGATACGAACGGCGCAGTCCACTGGATTCAGAACGTGTTTGAACATGCGAGATTGAGCGTTCACCATGTGGCTCGACGCCCCTGAATCTATGTAGAGTGTCGTATCGCCAACAGCCTTGGACTCCCCCTTTTCCACCTGAAACCCGCTGGTGTACGTTACCAACTCGGTAGTCTCATTCGCATCCTCGGCCTGCTGATCTCCAGCCGGGCGCTCCGCTGGTCCATCTCCAGCCGCATCCTCCGCTGGCAGCTCCGCAGATCCAGCCGGGCGCTCCGCTGGTCCATGTCCAGCCACACCCTCCGCTGGTGGTACCGCAGTAGGCACCTGCAGTGCGTGCGGGTCACAAATGAAGGAATCATCCGGCAGTGCCACGGGGGTATCCTGAACCGGGTCCTCATCAGCAGCGCGCTCTTCGGGCAGCGCCGCAGCAGGCACCTGCAGTGCCTGCGGGTCGCAGACGACGAGGCCATCCGGTAGCGCCGTCACAGGCGCATTATACACCTGCTCGACTCCAGCGGCGCGATCCTCTGGTAGCGCCGCAGCTGGCACCTGCAGTGCCTGCGGGTCGTAGATGAAGAGACGATCCGGGAGTGCCACGGGCGTATCCTGAACCGGGTCCTCCTCAACAGCGCGCTCCTCTGGCAGTGCCGCAGCAAGCGCCTTCAACTCCTGGGCGTCATTACCGAAAGCGATGGCGAATTCTTCAAGCTCATCGCCGGCCACCTCCACCCGCGTGAACCATGCCTGCGTGGTGGAGTCCTGTGCGGTGTGCGCCTGTTCTTTGGCATCCTCCGCCTCGTTCCTCAGGCGAAGCGGGCAGTCGTACCACCCATGCTCGGTGGAGTTATGACAGTATCGGCAACGTCCCCTGTGCATTCCCGCACCTTTCCCCCCAGAGGCCTGGCTGCCGCGATCATTCCCGCGTGCGCCTTGCGCATTTCCCGCGCGGGCTTCTCCGGAGGTTCCGCCGCTGTTGTTGCTGTTGTTCCCGTCCGAGCTGGTCGAACCGTTCGCAGTTTTGCCGCCATTTCCTCGGAGACCGCCGCGTCCGCCGCGTCCGCCGCGTTTGCGGAAACCACGTGCGCCTCCGTGCGTGACAGTGTTCAACGCACGACCGTGGCTGCCTGAACCGTCATCATGGTCAGATACTTTCCCGCGGATTTGCATGGCGTGAAAAACGGTGGCACGCTGCACGATAGCATCGAACCCAAGACCCTCACTACCACCGAGATTTGGCTTCTCGCATAGCAGCGCAGTCTTGAGTGAACCATACTGCTTGTCAGGGACGGCTTGTAGAAGAGCATTTGACTGTCTTGCCTCCACAACGTTATCGCCTAGGTTACCGAGCTCGTGACAGATGCGGCGCAACTGTTGGACCGCACGTGCCGGATCGAACTTGTCGGCTGCTGTGACCGCCACGGAGGCAAACTCGTCATGAAGTTGTTGCATGCGAAAGACACCTTCGGCACGGCATTTGTTAAAATACAGCTCATTACTGCTGTAGGATGTGTGTAGTAGCATAGATGCAGCTGTATGATTGCTGCACGCAATGGTACGTAGATGCGGAATAATGAGTGACGTTTGGTAGAACGTAACATATAGGACGAGTTGTAGCGAGGAGCTCGTTGATGGTATGAGAATGAATTGTAGGGAGATCACGAGGTGTTGCGAGCCCCACCGGGCTCACTCCCAACTATACCTCAACATCTCACCTCTGCAAGTAAGCTGACTAAAGAAGAAAGTACAAGTCCCACAAGCGGCACTCAGCAACAACATCGACTTCGGTCACTGTCTCAACAGACTTCGGTCTACACAGACTTCGGTCTGCATATCACACAGACTTCTGTCTGGAACTGCACAAAGGCTTAACCGCCTGCAGACGACCCTTGGGTACAGGGCACCTCGACACGACACATTTCTACATGGATGGCATGCAAACTAGTGTCTAAAGAATCAACGAGGCCTCAACAGAACAAGACCTTCATCGTCGCGAGAGATCAACGGAACGGCAAGTACTGCAGACCGCCGACACGACAGCACCAGAGGAGACAAGATAGTACGGCCAGTGGCAGCAGAAGTAATTAGCCTGCTGTTCTGAACAAGAACCCCCGGGAGCGGGCTGAGACTGCTCGGTGTAATACAACTGCAACATCGTGTTCTACCAAGACAAATACCTGAAAAAGCGGGCACCGGACGGGCATTTGAGTGCGCACTCACCCCATGACCGGTAAGTCGTAGGCCAGCGGGAGCGTGATTTTTCACCCCGTATACGACGGACGTCAGGAAAAGTCCTGCCGTGAGTATCGACTCTTTGTAGTGGCAACCCTCTCCCGGACATTTTGGTGAGTACAGTTCTGGAAAAGGAAGCCTCATACTTTGAGCAAGAAGCCTCATCATTTGAGCAAGGGATTTTAACGGAGGAACAAGTCAAGTGAAATTGACACGGAAGAGGAACAAAATTGGTAGCAGCAGCTGGAACCGGGAACACCAAGAACCAAATATGGCGCAAGACAGTAAACATTTCCAACTATTGAGGAGCCTGCACAAGTTCAATGGACGGGATAATGAATACTCTGAATGGAAATACACAACGCGAAGGACTCTGGCCTTGCATCGGCCAGACATCAACAATCTTCTGGGAGATAACTGGAGACCGCGTCCTATATACGAACTACACGACGAGCAAGATGATGGAGATTAGGACGGTGGACATCAAGAACATGAAGTTGGTGAAGACACTGAAGACCGAGATGGGCAGGACGCAGCATTTGAAGACGCTTACTACAGTTGGGTTCAGCGGAGTCAGCCGCTTCGGAAGCTCGACAGAAGGCGGAAATCGCACAGAAAGTGCTTGATGATGATAACGAAGCACAGACGCACATTACGAGAGCGATACAAAAATCAGCGGATACTACTGCGCTACTTGCAACTCAAGCCGAGACATTGTTCAACTAATCATGGATCAACTACCACCGAAGCGCTCTTCACAAGGTCGACAGGGATCACGTGCGAGGTCCACAACTCGCCGGTCTTCATTAACGGGACGTTCCCGTTTTGTCGTGAACCAGCAAGAACTGGACGACTACGTAGAGGCCGACTCCCATTTATTCAATATACTGTACTGTATCACGTATTGATTGGGCCGGCGAAATATGTTTTGCGACGACATGCACCTGTGGACGAATCGAGTGGCAGCGGACTGGTTGTTCGGAAAGAACTCGAAGCAACATTCCAGCCAGCGGACGAACATCGGAGACGGAACCTGGAACGTGAACTGGAATCAGCGACCATGCAACCTGGAACGGATCCGGATATTTCATCACTCATGTTTGGTATCTTGCGGAGCAACTTCGTTTTATTGGAGGAACTGTCACGAATGAGAAGCTTGGAGACATCGTGTTGCAAGGACTGCCACAAGAATATCAACTGATCAGATACCATGCCAGCTCGAGGCATGAGTACAATGATCTGGAAGACATCGCTCAAACGGCACGGAACATGTGGTACAACAGAAATCGCAAGGATAGAGCCATCACGACATTACAGAATAGGAGGAGATCTGCACGAGACACCGGATATTCAGCAATTACGGAAGAACGGCATCAATCAAGGCGCCGAGAAGGAGGACCTTTCGACTCCTCCTAAAAAAAAACAAAAACTTCCCCTNTAGTGGTGGAGTTGGGTCGGCACTGGTGCGTCAGGTACAAAGGTGCAGATGCGCGGGCCTCCAGGCCGTCGGTGTAGGCAGCAATGCCCATCTCATCTTTGTGCGCGGAGGCAGACGTCATCAGAAAGGTGGACGGGCACTATGTACACGGCCCTAGGTTTGCTAGAGGGAGCTGTACTGTCTCAGTAACCTGGTTTTGCCATCAAAGGAGGAGGGGACAGGTGATGACGAGCTGATTGGGCTGGTTGATCCTTCGGCGCGATAACTTTTAGACCAAGAACCCTAAGTGCAACGAGGGAGAAAGCGAGGAACCGACTGGGATGAACAGCAACGAGAGCGTGTACGAAGCGGAGCGGGTCGAGTTTGGTCGTGCTAGGACTGGCCACAGCGGCACCGGAGCAGCGGCACCGGAGCAGGCGGACGGCATCGAACCGTGGCGCACGAACAAACATCTCTTATGTTGTCAATTATTTTTCCGTTTTTTTCCTGAATACAGGTGTTGGGTGTGTGTGATGACGTCACTGGTTTTGTAGAGAGACGCGGCAGAGATGGCGCGGATAACCCGGGTGCCTTAATTGTGTACCTTCATCGTGGAAGACCCCTTCAATGTGGAACGATTCCTAGTCAGTGTCGATGTTTACACTGCTGTGCCTAACACAGATGATCTGGATAGATTCGGGTGATTGTCAATTGCAATGATGGCTTTGGTTGTGCGTTCTTCTTCATTGTATGTCCACGGACTCATTCTGACAGCACTTCAGACAGCAGCTGCATGCTCCGAGCTTGTGTACCATGCACCATGGTGTTGTTTTTGTACAGACAGCACTTCAGACAGCAGTACGCTGTAGTCGACAAACATTCATTTTGGTTAAATGCGGGACAAGGGGGGTGATGCTGCTGCTGTAGTCGATTTGTAGTGTGTGGGCGTGTAGTTGTGAGCATGCAAACGTGCTGCAGGGATTGCAGGTGTACATCCTCGGGCTTGCGTATCCTTTTCTTGCTAATAGTGTGTGTGTTCTTAAGATCTTCTGATGGCTCTAGCATTTGTGTGACCACGGACCGAGTCTTTGCTAGATTTTGGGATAAGCAACCGACACGAGTTCAATGTGAAGAAAAACAACAAAACAAACACAACAACAACAACAACAACAACAACAACACCGATGCCGTCGAGTGTTACCACTGCCACCGCTTTGGACATATTAAACGGAACTGCTCAAAGCTGCATTCAGGGGGTGTTCGAACTCCTGCAAGGAACTACAAAAGGAACTACAGCAGCAGTGGAATCAGGAGAAATGGATCTACTTTCCAGTCGCGGTCACGGACCAACAGTGGGTTCAGAGCATCGAACAACGGATATCAGCAACAGTCAAGATCCAGACGACCTGAACGACAAGGTAGAAACCGTTCTACGCCACAAGACCACCGCCAGAGACAACAACGGCAGCGAAAATGGTGTTCGTTACATAACATTCATCTACACGACGATTCGGAATGTCGTGCTCAACAACAAGAGAGTCATGGTACACGAACTACAGCGACAGGACGCGGCGGACCGATCATAGATGGATCACAAGGAACAAGACAGGCCATCAATGTTCGTCAACATGTCCAAGACAGGGGCGCTACTTACGCCTTCAATCCAAGACTGTACAACAATGACAATCGGACTGTCAGCAGAGCTACCACCGCTCAAGAGGTCATGAGTGGGTCTACGCCCAACAGGAGCGTCCGCACTACGTCACAACCTACTGAAGAGACAGTGGTTGAAGGTTTCGATGGGAACGTTGGATACCCATGCGTTTCTCGCATGGAGATGCTTGCACAACAAGCTGCCTATGAGGAATATCATGAAGGAAAAATTAACTTACTGGTGGATAGTGGAGCATCAGGCCATTACCTGGACGGCGATTTGCCACCTGATCTGGACTACATACTGGAAGACTCCGAGTACATCTTCACACCCATGAAGATTATTGGTGCTGGAGGAGTTAAGCTTGAAGGGATCAGCACAGGCATCATCAGCGTATTCGCCAATGATGAAGATGGAAACGACAGGAGATCGCGGATCAAGTGCACTGTGGTTCCAGGATTAGGACGGCACCTGTTCTCTACTGGAACAACTCAGAAGAAAGGTGCGAACACGATCATGTCGGATCAGCCGCGAATCGAGTTACCGACCACTTCAGGGGATGGATCTAGAATCGCCCTAGTGTTACGAGAAGTGGGAACTTTATATTTTCTGGATGTGCGACTTGACACGAGTCATCGCGATACCAGAACCCCGATCAATGAGGAGGCCAAAAATACTTACGAGAAAGCATGTGTGGCTGCTACACGCGCGGAGCCCTACAACCTTTGGCATCGCGTTTGGGACATCGCCACAACAACATCNAGAAAGGTGCGAACACGATCATGTCGGATCAGCCGCGAATCGAGTTACCGACCACTTCAGGGGATGGATCTAGAATCGCCCTAGTGTTACGAGAAGTGGGAACTTTATATTTTCTGGATGTGCGACTTGACACGAGTCATCGCGATACCAGAACCCCGATCAATGAGGAGGCCAAAAATACTTACGAGAAAGCATGTGTGGCTGCTACACGCGCGGAGCCCTACAACCTTTGGCATCGCGTTTGGGACATCGCCACAACAACATCATCGAGGCAGCTGCGCGTATCGAAGAAACTGGAGTAAAGCTTACGGACAAAATGGAACCGTGCGAGACGTGCAAAATTCAGCAGAGCACGTAGAAGAAACATCCCAAAACGGCACAGCATACTGCTGTTCAGCCGTGTCAGCGGGTTCATACGGATCGACTGGGGCCAGTTTCGCCACCTGCAAAGGGTGGATACATTTATGTTAGTAAATTCACTGACGAGTTTTCAAGGATGAATATTGTGTATTTGATATAGTCCAAAGACGAGGCCATCAACACACTGGATAGATTTATCCACGACATCGTCATGCCGAATGGTTTTCGGTTGGAGCGACTTCGCAGCGATAATGGAGGCGAATGCACAGCAGAGTACTATAGGGAATTTTGCAAGACCATCGGAATCGTTCAAGAATTTACGGCGCCAGCTACACCGCAACAAAATGGCATCAGTGAACGTGCTGGACGAACGCTCATGAACATCGTTAGATGTTTGATGCACGGAGGAAAACTGCCGGAGTTTTTATGGAGCGAGCTATGTTGCACGACGGTACACATCACGAATCGACTACCGCATGTGCATCTCAACGATGAGACGCCCTACTACCGGATGTTTGGGAAGCAAGCTTTACTACGACATCTGCGGGTCATCGGCTCAACGGCTTTTGTGCACCTGGAGACGTACAAGTCCAAGCTCGCGAATCGTGCTTGGCCGGGAATCCTGATAGGGTATAGCCCCGACAGCCGAGCGTATCGGGTGTTCAATCCGCACACAAAGCGGATAGTGCATAGCCGGACTGTTACATTCATCGAACCGATGGATGCGCCATGCCGCCGGCTATTCCAACACGGGCGGAATTGCGCAACGACACGGAAAACGAATTATCTGTTTCCTCGGATGTCGTGTACATACCGGGAAACGAGGGGGAAATGGATAATTCGAACACATGAGGATTTCGAACAAGAACAAGAACAAGAACAAGAACAAGAACAGGAACAAGAACCAGAACGAGAACACGAAACAATCCGCATGAATATGCGAAGTGCTGGAAGGAGCATGGATCACCAAATCGAGGTAAACAACAAAAGACAACAAGCCGAGCTACGGAGGTGATCGCCTTGGCACAGACTGGCTACCTTTGTGAATCAAGATCATCAGAATCAAGGCCAAGAGATAAGGATCAAGGCGCCATCAGCTGGAGAACCTGTCCGGCCACCGGCATCTACACCTATACCAACTACATATCAAGAAGCCATGAGGTCAATGGACGCCGATCAATGGAAAGCAGCTATGGACAAGGAAATGAGGAGCCTAGAAGATCATGATGTGGCGGATTTTGTACCAATTCAGAGTCTACCCCCTGGAGCTAAGCCTATTGGATCAAGATGGTTGTACAAGATGAAAGCAACTGGAGCAATGAAGGCAAGACTCATCGTACAAGGCTGGGGACAACGACATGGCATCGACTGTGGAGGAACTTACGCACCTGTGAGTCGATTCAGTTCGCAGTTAGTATTAATGGCGATTGCAGCGGACAGAGGATACGTTGTGGAAACCATGGACGTGGTAACTGCATTTCTTCAAAGCAACGTGGAAGAAGAAGTGAACGGTCGTCAAACCAAAGGATACGAAATAACGGATGAAGTTGCGGGACTACCGCTGGTCATGAAGCTCAAGAAAAGCTTATTCGAACTGAAACAAAGCCCTCGGAACTTCGGCAACGCATTTGCTAAAGGGATTAAAGAAATCGGGTTTACTGCTCTACTGAGTGACCCGTGCGTATATGTGTACGGAGCTGGACCGGCATATGCGATATTTTGTGTGTACGTGGACGACTGCACACAAGCCGGAAGGACACCAAGTGTTGTACAAGACTTAGACTATAGCAATTATCGAACAAGTTCAAGATGACCGATGGAGGACCGGCGGAACTACTATTACTAGGGATGGAGATTTCTCAACGTGACGGAGAAATCACTGTGAGCCAACACAAATACGTGATGAATATTCTGGACAAGTACCAGATGGTGGATTGCAAACCAGCAGCAACTCCAGGGAGCGGACCGGAAATTGAACAAGAGCCGGAGAATACTATCTACTTGAGCGAGGACAAGAAACTCTACCAAGGAATTGTCGGAAGTCTACTCTTTCTTCCTGACGAACACAACGAGACGGGAGATTGGATATGCCGTGATGATCCTGTGCAGAGGGATGAACAAGCCTACCAATCAACACATGGCCGGAGCAAAGAGAGTGCTGAGATACCTTCGAGGATGCCCGATATGCCACTGAAGTTCAGGGGAGGACAATGGGACCTGAAGTGCTACTGTGACGCGAGCTTCGCTCGATCGAGCGAGAGACTTCAGAAGCGTTCTTTTACTGGATACATCTTCATATTGGCGGGAGGCGTCATCAGCGCAGCATCAACTCTGCAGAAGCAAATGGCTCAATCAAGCGTACATGCGGAGATCATTGCGATGGCTATAGCAGCTAGGGAAGCCACCTATCTGCAAGGTGTACTATCGGAGCTTGGATTCCCGTGCAGAAATATTCCGATTCATTCGGATTCTACGGGAGCTATGAGCACAGCAGGAAACTCTGTTTCGAGGCCGCAGCAAGTTCATCAGCACGAGATACGCTACTTCGCCAGAACGTCAACAAGGAAAATATTATGCTGAAGTTCGTGAGGAGTGAGGAGCAGCTTGCGGACATATTGACCAAGCATCTGGAACGTGTCCAATTCACCAAACTTCGGACATTGGTTCAAGAACAAGGAAGATCTACGAAATAGGAGATTTCATGCGGTGGAACTGCGGAGACGACTGTTTCAGATGTAGATGGACAGTACGAGAAGGCTGGTGCGACGACTGCTGTATCAATCACACCACCGATCAACCATCACGACAAGGACAACAACTACGACTACCAACAAACAAGACGGCTACACCGATCACTACCAAGAACGACAACAAACAACCTGGACGATGGCATCATCAGAGGCTGGGTCTGGATTTATTTCAAGCGATCAAGAACTTCACGTCAGACAACAGCAACAGCACGAGGAGGAAAACAACAACGACGAAGAACCAGATGGGTCTATTCTTATGACTGAGGGGCTCAAGCTTGTTCAGCTTGATGAATATCTAGGCAGTAAATTTATGAAAACATGTGATGAGTTTGTAGTACAACAGGCAAGGTAACTTGTAGAGGAGTTGTGTATTTCAATGGAAACTGATTTTTCTGCGCTAGTAAACTATTTGCCAACACGGAGCACTAAGACAGTACTGCTGTTCTGTACTGCGAGGTTGTATACCCTTCAAAGAATGTGGAACCAGCGCATGATAGTGACGAATGGAATTGTACCTAGCTATGCCATGAGCAGTCATGTCCATGATGGATGATTGACCCGTGCAAGGAACGAAGGATCAGATTTTTTCAAGAATGAGACAATGAATGAACTGAAGAGAAGCCAAAAATCAGAAATCAATTGGGCGATTATGTGGAAGCCAGGATATTCGTATCTTCTTAAACTTGCACACACATACGAAGGGAGTAAGGAACCGTCGACAGACGATAATCCATCGCTCTACTCTGGATCTTTGCTCGGTGGGTTATCTGCTCCGACAGGAGTCGGGGTGGATCTTTATGGTTGGTACCGAGAGCCAAGAAGGGTCTCGGCCAACGCCCACTCGCAACCTTACCCTAGCCTTCACCGAGCACGCTCGGTCACCGCTTGACATTCCTCGTCACATCTCAACAGAGGAAACTGGCCTTCCCCCGGGGGTAGGCATATACCACCTCGCCAAATTGGGGACCTCAGCTCACACGAAGTTGAGGGTATTCGAATTGGCTTCGACGAAGAGCGGTCTCTGTGTGTTTTTCTCCTCGGTTCACCTATTTTTCCAACATGGGCAACAATCAGAAGAGGAAAGACAACATGGCCGGTCCGAACCAGCAGGCGGGCACGGGCGCCGGTAGCGGTGCTCCTCAGACCCCCTTAGCCATACTTAAACTCAAGCCCGCACAGCAGCCTACACAGCAGTCCCAGCAGTATTCGGGGGAGAAATCGTTCAACAAGGGTAAAGGACCCCTTGCCAACGTTGACTCTTCGTCACCCGGCTCCAGAGACTATGCTAGCGTTGCACGTGACGGCGCTGGAGAAGTGGCAACCCAAAAAATGGAGGCGACAACTCCGACGCTGGAGGTGGCAACTCCAGCAATGGAGGTGGCAGCTCCGGAGGCGGAATGGTGGATCCTAACAACCGTTACTCCGCGCTTGCCGGGGACACACAGGATGACCCAGCCGATGGAAGCCGGGAAGGCGGAGGAACCCGTCCGACCGATTCCACTCGCACACTCCTCTCCGATGTCCTTGGCCAACTCTCGCAATCCACCGACACCGAGTCCTCGCCGTCTGCTTCCATCGCGCAACTTCTGGCACAGTTCATCGTGGAGAGCTTGAGGGAAGCCAGAGACGACAAGGTCAAGCCGGATGACTGGATTATGAGTCTCGCCATGAAAACACCGGTGCAAACCACAGCAATCACCCAGGTGAAACCACGCCGTTTAGAGTCCTATTTTTCTGCCGAGCGTTCTGATGACACTCCGATCATTCAGCAATTCAGCAAGTTGTCTCACCCCAGCAGCAGCAGCAGCAGCGCGTAGCATTTTCACCCCAGCAAGGTGGAACTGGGTCACAGCAACAGCAGACGAATGTAACACCTTCATCCCAGCAAAGTGGAGACGTGTCACAAATGCAGCAGAACGATCTCGCCACTCACACACACGAGCAACGCAATCGCGCAACTCAAGATACTTTTCGCAATCTCAAAGCTTCCGAGGTTCCGTCAACTCTGAAACTTGAGGGTCTCCCATCGGAAGATGTACCCGAAATCATGGGGCAGTATCGCACGCACATTCGCCTCTCATTGCCCGAAAACACCTCGGATGACATCATCGACCGTAGGGCTATCAAGAAGTTACGCCTCATAACGAAAGGCGCCGCTGCACAAACGCTTGATCGCATTCTAACCTCCAGCTTGGAGTGGCGGTCGGAACAGCAAGTAGCCGCAGTTCGTGCACGAGGTGAGCAAGTCATTATCTCTCCTCCGAAAACCTGGAAACGATGGGTCAATGCTATGACTACTCTCATTGCGCGCACGATCAGAATCGCGCTTCTCGCACGCGAGGCCATGACGCTCCAAGCGAAGCCTATCGAGAGTGTCGATTTGTTTTCGATTAGAGTCTCACGAACCTACTCTAGACTCCGAAGCCGAACGGACCGCACCACCCAACATGTCTGCTCACGAACACGCACTTGACAAAGCACTCATTGCATCGTTTGAGAACGGTCTACCGCCAGACATCAGGGTAGAGATTCGAGAGGACGCGTCGCAAACGTTTATGACATCTAACATGCGTGCCCGCAAACATGAAGCAAACCAACTGCGTTCAGCAATCTCCCAATCAACCGCCTCGGTATCTTCCCTTCTCGACTCCACACTACAACCGCAGCTGAAAATTCAAGCGGGCGTTCTCGAGAACAGGGCCACCCAGCTTGAACAACAAATGCGCACCAACGAGGACAGCCATGTCTCCAGCGCATCACGCGCCCGTAGTCACAGTCGGAGGTCTTCCACCCACAAACAGGGGCCGTCTTTCGCCGAGCGAAACCCTAACAATCGCAACCAGAAGAAGAAGGTTGTGTTTGACGCTGACACTTCATCTGACGGTAGCAACAACACGGGGGGGTAGAGTGCACGTACCCTGGATGTGCGGGGAAGAGCAAGCGGTTCACTCATCATGCACGGCAAGAATGCCGTACAGAACAACGGGACAGAAAGAGTGGCCACGTGGTTGTCGAAATAGGTTCGAAGCAAGGATAGGATGGCCCAGATAGGCACCATTCCTCGGCCTGTTTGGAAGACACGTCTAGAGACTCGACAGCAGTAGCAGAGAGAGTAAGAGTAGACGAGAGGAATCCTGGGCATCACCTAAAACACGTCCAGCCTCTGGTGGTAAAACAAGCAGATGAGGCAACTCGTAGTATGGTTCCCGAAGCAGCATCTGAGTCCACTTGCGTACGGTCCTACAACCAACAATCGCAAAACACTCAGACCAGGTACACTGTCACAGTTGACACCGCTGCCGATACACCACGTAGCACAGAAGCAATACGCGTAGCCAAGCGCAGTAAACGTTCGCGGGTCCTGGCGCCACAAGCTTTGTACGTAGCTACCGAAGACGGCGTTGTACAGTCGAAGCATACATCTCGTCTCATGCCTTCGGACTCACATAATAATGATTTTTCTGCTTTTATGCATCGGTACTTGCGGGATACCCTGGGTACCCCTCGGTGTTTAACGCGTCCTCCAAGCACGTACGTGTAGCCGCCTGAATAAACAATCACCCCGTCGATCACATCACGATTGACACTGCGTGTGATATTCCGTGTATATCTGCAGCATTTATGCGAAGTCACAACACGCTCAAACACGCGGAAATGTCTCCCGTTCCCCGCGGAGTAATCCGCCCCCCCCGGTGTTTGCCGTCGGGG